TTGCTGAAAGGGCGAGCATGTTTGGTGTGACGGGGATTCGAACCCGCGACCCTCAGATTGCGAGTCGAGTGCCTTAACCACCTGGCCATGCCGGGCCAAACATAAACTGCAAAAAACGCGGTAACAATAGGTATTTTATTTATAACGTGGAAAAAATAATGGTGGAAAATATTTTAGAAGTTACGACTAATAACAAAAAATATCTCAGTATATAATAATATTTTCCGATGACACGCGCATTTCAAATATATATCATATCATATTTTTGCAGCGAAAACATCCCAACTTTTAAACAACATATAAATTTCGGAAACCACTCAGCTATTTATAAAAACTTTCGATGAGTTTGAATTGAAATACTGCTTTCAGATATATGCTCAAAGGAATCAACACCATTCTTATCACGTCATAATACAGAAAGAAGTATCTTGCTTTAATCGCATATACTGTACATGAAATTATCATATACCCAAAATGGGTTTATTTGGACTATAAATAAAATAGTAGAGCATAATGAGCTAAACAATATTTAAAATTCTCGCATCAATCATCCTTGATTTCGCCACTAATCTATCCCATCCAAGTTTGCAATTTTACTAATCAGTAGTAATTCCATCTATTGACGGAATGAGTAATTACCGGTTTTAAGTACTGCTTAAAAAGTGATTACTCTTAACAGCGCTTATAAATAGTCAGATTTTTCTCATCTATCCAAAGTAGTGTATCGCTTTTACATAAAAGTGAATTTCAGAATTGTGTGAAATTATTATTATTACCTTTATTCTTTACTAAAATACAGTCTTTTATGAATCTCTAATGAAAGATTTTTATTGGTTAATTGTTTCGAATGTGTAAAATAGTTTAACATAATATGTGAGATAAATGTCTTCTTACTTCTCAGCTGGATTATTGTTATTCATTATAACATCGTGCTTCCAACTTTTTTCTTCTGAACTAGATTTCCAGCTTACCTTTACCAGCTATATAATTATCATCAAAGGATATCAGACTCCTGGTTTTGGGAAGATATATTTCTCGTTAGAAAACATATAAAGAAACACCACAGACATCAGATCGGTTTATATCCTTTCTGGCTATTCAATGGTTTTATGATAACGAAATCATCTTACTAGAAGCAAGGATTAAGTCGACCGAGCTGTCTTCCGAAACAAGCTGCGAAAATACATTACTATTTAAAAGCCACCACGCGGTCGTCTCAGTGATCGATTGCACTCGGGGAGTGGTTATTCTTTCCACACACTTGAAGGAAACCAGTGAGCATTTTCCTTTGTCCCATTTCTTCCAGGAAATGAAACATTCGTTGAATTTTCAGACACATACATGTATAATAATCTACAAGGTAGACTCAAAAATATGTTTGGGTGTAAATATTTGGATGGTGGGACAACCTACAGCTTTTCCAGTTGGTACTGGTGTATAAACACATATATGGAACACACTTAAGAAAGCAAACACTAAGTAGCGTAGCAAGGTGAACTTGAAACTGTATTTTCTTTATATGTGACGTCACTAGTACTTGTAGTTACAACTGTTAATTTGATGTCAGATGTCATTCGTTCACTCATCGGTTAAGTGGGACTATTACAACTACCCGATGTTAGCACTTCAGCAAAAAATCTTATTCATCATTGGTTCAGCCGTTAGGCTACAGGCTTAAGACGCTAAAAATAGAGTTTCGATACCCGTGGTGGGCAGAGCGCAAATAACCCATTGTGTAGCTTTGCGCTTAATAACAAGTAAACTATTAGGTCCTGTTTCACTCGATTGTGTTAGCGAAACGGCCAGACGTCATATCAAGCATCTGATGGAATAAGAGTTGCTGTTTAAAGATCACCTTGCACTGCCACCTATAGTAGTTTCTTCACAACGTATTTCGCATATGTTTTCATACATATTTTCAACTTAAAGCTATAGAATTTATGGTTCTCCCGCCATCTGAAATTTTGCCAGCTCTGTGTACATTACATACCTTTACTTAGGTCTGTTATAAGGCTGGAGAACAGAACTTGGAGCTACAGAAGCACTGCTTTACTTGTCCAATACAAAACAAGTTATACAATCGGTTTACTTTGCCATGGTTCGTAAAAAACGTATCTATAGTATTTTCAAACAAAAAAAAGTTAATGAAAATGCTTTCAAAAATATAAACAATACAGTAACGGACAAATAAAAATTAAAAATAACAGTAGAGTCAAAACAAGATATATACATATACAATTCAATTAAAGATGACTAATGATCCGTAAGTTTAAAGATCAATTAGCATTCCAAAAGATGTGGATATGAAATAAGTTTTAAAACATCCTAAAGAAAAACGACACAAATAGTTAAAGATAGCTGAAAACAAAAAAACCTGCAAAAGAACAAAGAAAATAATTCTGAATACGAGGTATCAAGTTCAGTAAGAAACAGTAGTAATACAAACAATGCACATGTAGACATTTGAAACAGACGATTAAATTTGAGAACGTATATATATAGATTGAGAGAGTAATGCCAGAAAAAATTCTACTCGTGATATTGAAGATAAAAATAGAGCGGAATAAGACAAAAGAATGAAGAGTGGATTCAAAAGGAACGAAATTCAAGTAAGAAAACACAGAGCGAAAAAATAAGATATATATTAAATGCAGTATTCTCAAGTCAAAAAAAATTAAAACGGCCATTTTTTATTTACTATCACTTCTTTGGTTGATCATTTATGTCAGTACATCTTCAACCGTAAAAAACAAATAATTGAAAGTAAGTTGAAAAATGATACTGCACGAACTGAAAGAGCTCCGGTATATAAAGTAGAACATGAGACTACGTTTCACTTTCACATCATAAGGCAAATGCATGTTACTGTACTATTGCAATGTCAATATCTTTTCTAAAGTATAAGTAGCCATCTTTATATTACATTACCTGAAAGTTTCTTTACAAACCCCATATATTCTCGTGTGTTTGTTCTGTTCAAAAATAATGCTGCAATTTGAGCTATATGCGCCGTGCTTACTGCAGGCATCGAACCCTGAATTTAAGCATTATAAGCGTCAAGCTTAAAATGTTTGTGTAGATTCAATTTCAGTTTATTGTTTCCACCAACAGAAGAGCCAATTGGCATAAAATCGAGATTATATGGTAGTTTCCTTTTTTAAACTAAATGTTCATAAACCATATATTGCTACATAGTGTTGGATATTTTATACAAAAAGTAGACATTATTTAATATTTCAAGTTCAGTAACGCGCCTGTAGCTAGTGTAAAAAGTTATGTTTCCGATATTGGGAGAACGTTCAAATGAAGTTATTTCTTTTGTTGTAGCTAGGACCTCAAGAACAGTAAACTGTGGTGGTTGTTCTTTTTTAATTGCAAAATACTTGCATTTATGGTTTGGTACCTAAAATTTTCGAACTATCTTTATACAGCTTTGATAACGATATAACCTTCAAATACTTTTTATGTCCAATTAATAGGAAGGAAATGATATAAATTTATGATTATAGGAATAAGTTTATATAAGTTATTGGTAAAGACAGAAATAAATACAGATTTTTTCTATTAGTTGTGGGTTTTAATTTGACGAGAACCTTAAAATAGACTGCACATTTAAACCATAATTATGTCTTTACTATTAAAAATATAACTAATAATACGTCATTACAAACTGGGCAACTTCCCCTTTTGTAATTGATGCCTTTACTACATATCCTAGCCCCCGTGCAAAATGGCACAAGTTGAACTAAAAAAAATTTTTTCAGAAGTTTTAAATCTTATATATTTTAAATATTATGGTTACTATCATGAACCATTCAAGTGGATTTATTTACTCCAAATGTTTAATAATTCAAGTAGATATATTACTCCAAACTTTTGATAATTGAAGTGGATTTATTACTCCAAACTTTTCACAATTGAAGTGGATTTATTACTCCAAACGTTTGATAATTGAAGTGGATTTATTTACTCCAAACTTTTGATAATTGAAGTTGATTTATTACTCCAAACGTTTGATAATTGAAGTGGATTTATTTACTCCAAACGTTTGATAATTGAAGTGGATTTATTACTCCAAACTTTTAATAATTGAAGTTGATTTATTACTCCAAACGTTTGATAATTGAAGTGGATTTATTTACTCCAAACGTTTGATAATTGAAGTGGATTTATTACTCCAAACTTTTAATAATTGAAGTTGATTTATTACTCCAAACGTTTGATAACTTCATCTCATATTTCAACCACACATACATGTTTTTCAAAGACACTGAACCAAGCAATCTATAAGATCTTTATTTCCAGCTTCTGTGATTAATCATTTATATCTACCTACTAACGTGTATAAATTGATAAAATAAGCTTAACAATTTAAAGGTGTAGGAAATTTCATTTTCATTTACTTAGAAAATTCGAATGTATCGCTAAGATGTCCACGAGTATTAGGTCAAACAAATGTATGTAGGTTTTAACACCAAGTGGATTTGTATGTATAATTATACACAGACTGTTCTCTACGTTAAAATACTTTCCCTTTATTTGCGAGCTTACCGGAGCCTTAATAGGGCAACAATGTACAATGTTTGTTGCCCAATAACGCAATTGCAAATAAAAGAAAAGTATTTTGACGTAGAAAGCAGTCCGTTTATAATTTTGCATTATAATTTACCTACGTTATAAGTCTTAAAAAAAATCAAGTAGATTTTCTGCCTTTAAATTGAAAACAGATCCCCAATCGTAGAGTTTTTTATTAAATTTTCTTTGTTCTAATATTGATTCTCAACATTTACGTCGGATGTGTGTTAAAATATTAGAACAATGTGACAAGGTTCTCATGTTACCCATTTTTTACCAAGTGTACAATCAGTAAATAAGTACATAGGTAAAACAGATGCAGTATGTTTCGTTATTGCTTCTGGCAGCTGGCTATAGGTTCTTTGGTATTTTTGGAGCGAGAGCAGTACCAAGTAGTTCAAAGAAACAACGCTAGGATTCAAGAATAGAGCTATTTCACACCAATTTGAATTTTATTGTTATTATTGCTTACACTTACGGAATTATCCATTAAGTTTAGAGAACAGATGGTTAATGTGAGTTACACCAAATCCAGTTTAGTTCTCAGAATGATTATAAAGTCATTTTAATATTACTTTAAAACACCGACTTTCTGAATTTTATGATATATATCAACGTTACATTAACACAAACACGAATATTTAAATTTGTTCAATGCGTATAAAATCAAACCTGTTATGTCATTCCCTTACAGTTAAACGCTAAATGGTTGAATTATAGATTGATTTGTCTTTCAGGAAGGTTTACCATCTACTAAAATATGGGTGGATTTTTCAGATTTTTCGTTAAATCCACCCAATGATTATGGCAGTAACAATAAAAGATAACGTTTTTTTTTTCTTCTCTGAATACTAAATATAGTTACATGTAAAAGTAAATAGATTTAATACTCAGAGAAATTATCATTTTGTTTTACCTCCCGTTAATTTAGGCTCTTATTGATTATGTATAGTTAATATTAGCTATTGGTTAGGATGTTTAATATATCTAATTTTATTTGCTTTTAAACTTATTTTTATTGTTGTATATTTATTATAGAAATTATTTTACATTGTTAGTTTAATACGTGTATTTATGACCATCTTATGTCTCCTACGCTAGCCAAACCTTGTGAGGTATTACTGGGATAGCGGCTGAAAATATAGTTAACAGTGAGTAAACAATGTATTCTAATCTTTTTAAATAAGAACGCAAAAACGCATATTTAATTAGCTATATTCATTACCAGATTGAATTTTAGTTTCACTCTAAGTTGGCAGTTGCTCTGATCGGAAGTTAATATAAATATTTACTACAACATAAATCATATTCGAAATATGATAATATCAGAAGATTATCTTATCTTTTCACAATGCTCGTTATCCCAGATTTTCTGCCTCTGCAGAGTTTAATAAATATGTTGATGAGTTTTCATGTTTGAATCATTTGATACGATCTCACAACATCGCTTTTTGTCTGTACAAACAGAAAGCGGGAATATTTTTGTATCCCTGAAATTTTTTTAGCAATATAAACGTCTGTAGTGGAAATTGAGACTCCGGAATATGACATGGAGCTCTGGGCATGCTGCTAACAATCGTCAACATCAACGAAAGAATGGCAGAGATTTGTTAGTATCAAAACTGTCGCCACTTTTGCCTCATCTTCGGAAAGAAGAGAATTAGATAAAGTCTCATCGATTCTCTCATCAAACCGGTGTAGACATTTTGTACTCGTCTTGATGGTTAACCTGCCAAATACAAAACACTGAAATAAGAAATGTAAGAAAGAAAAAAAACAAGTTTATGTGTATAAATCTAGAACAACATAGTTCAGTCAAAAATATTAATAATCGATCAATTCTCTTATATATAGCTTTTCCAGTATAGTTTAACTATTCTTAAATGTGTCATTTGGGTACTGGCGTTTAAATTTCTGTATTTTTTTTATGAAACTGTTTTATTGTTTCAGCTTTAGTGAAAATCCAAACCGCGAGACTCGAACCCCGAAATATATCCTTGTAAGTTCGTAAATTTACCTCTGACCCACTGTGAAACTTATGAAAAGTAGAAACTTCTAACCTTTACTGTGAGTGAAGTATTAACTACAGAATTAAAGAATTGTTATTTAAAACTGTGCACCCAGACAATAATGTTACCCCCAACAATCAAGCCTAACTCTAACTAAAAGAGTAGAAAATGAAACGGAATTACTAACTACAGAATTAAAGAATTGTAATTTAAAACTTTGCACCCAGACAATAATGTTACCCCCCCAACAATCAAGCCTAACTCCAACTAAAAGAGTAGAAAATGAAACGGAATTATTAACTACAGAATTAAAGAATTGTAATTTAAAACTGTGCACCCAGACAATAATGTTACCCCCAACAATCAAGCCTAACTCTAACTAAAAGAGTAGAAAATGAAACGGAATTATTGACTACAGAATTAAAGAATTGTAATTTAAAACTGTGCACCCAGACAATAATGTTACCACCAACAATCAAGCCTAACTCCAACTAAAAGGGGAGAAAATGAAACTTTTGCTATGAAAGAAGTATTAATCACATACGTAAAGCGTTATCATTTTAAAGTGTGCATCACGGTAATGTTACCAATATGAATCAAACCCAACTCAAACTAAACTCGTCATTTGTTTTGTAGACAAGGACTTTCATTAAAGACACTGACTTGTTTCCAGAATGGCCTTGCATGACCTGGTGGTTAGGGCTACTCGCTACCTGAGTGTCGTGAATTCGAATCTCGTCCACGAACATGTTCGCCCTTTCAGTCTGGAGACATTATAATATGACAGTCAATCCCATTATTTGTTGGTAAAGAGTAGCCCAAAAGTTGAAGGTGGGTTTTTCTGGCTAGCTGCCTTCCCTCTAGTCCTCTTAATTTAGCAGGATGAATGACATAACACATTTATGGATCACAGATCCATGCAAGATATGTTGGTCATTAGGGGAACAAAACCTAAATAACTTCCAAGATATTTTTCACACTCAAAAGATGAAATTATTTCAAGTGATATGTGAGAAGCATTTCCCACCCACCCCTCCTACGATTTGTGTTGCTCGCGCCTTCTTTGAAGAATAGTGTATTATTATGTTTCATGACTGCATTCGAACGTGCATGTGAAATTTCTTCCTTTAGAGTCTTTGTTAGTCCACAACCGGTTTTCTTGAAGGAATATCGTATATCACAATACACACTGCACCTCGATACACAAAACACAGTAAGAGCTCTTATCACCAATATTACCTCGCCTTTTTTTCCAACAATAAAATCGTGATTCGGAAATATATTCATCCAATATTTCACCCGTAGTTGCGTAATGGACTAAAGGTTGAATGAAATACAAGCACAATCATATCATTACGTTATTAAACACGATATTTAGGTATAAACATTTACCCATGATTAATATTCGTGGATAACGATTTAGCTTGTAAGTTTGATTTGTCTTTTTTTAATCAGGTTTAAAGAAGTCCAATATAGAAAACTTACAAATCATTGTGAACTGAAACAAGAACTAAGTATTCTGGAGTTGTATACAGTATTTTATTACCACACGACAAAAAAACTTTGTTTAGGTCCAGATTAAGACCCCAGAAGCACCATTGGCAACTTCAGTTCTGTGTGCTCCCAGTTATCCACAAGCTCTTATTTTCTATTTTGTGCGTTGAAAATTTACCCATCAAAACAACGTTTTACTAAACATAATGCTTTTAAAATACTACACTTTCCAGCTTAAAAATTTGTCTAGAAGAGTTATAACAAAAACTAGCTTCCGTTAGCATATATATAGAAAAGTACAGACAGACGTCACGTAATAAGTAAAATCCTTTTGAGTTACTTGACACCATGGGCTCAAAGATATATGTATACTCTGCCTTTTGGTTAATAGAGACCACGTGTTTGTTTTTCACAGATCTCTTTGAGCCCATGGTGTCAAGGAACTCAAAAACATTATACTCTGCCTTTTGGTTAATAGGAGCCAGGTGCTTGTTTTTGAATGTTTTTGAGTTTCTTGACACCATGGGCTCAAAGATATCTGTATACTCTGCCTTTTGGTTAATAGAGGCCACGTGTTTGTTTTTGAATGTTTTTGATTTCCTTGACACCATGGGCTCAAAGAGATCTGTATACTCTGCTACTCTGCCTTTTGGTTAATAGGGGCCACGTGTTTGTTTTTGAATGTTCACTCTAAACTACACAAGACTAGCTACGTATAACAAACTCTAATACTGAACTGATAGAGAAGAGAAAAGGCAGCTAATCAACAGAACCCACCGCCAACTTTTGGGTTACTCTTGTCTGTCTGAATAGTGGGATTTGATCCTCGAGTTCATACTCCTCCCGCCCTTTACAAAAGAAAAGGATTGAACAATATGTTCGCCTTATATTCAACATTCCACTTGAGTTTACAGATATCAGATAATGGTTCCTGGATTTTATAATTATAAAAACATTTAACTCAGCTGAATTATCTTCATTTTTATATCAGTAATTTCCTAGACCATCTGTCAAAAGAGGTCCACTTCGTCTGACCTTTACCCCAACGACAACTTCCTACATTCCAAGTATAAGAAGTGAAAAATACAAGGAAAATTCACTTATTATTACAGAGCCTAAAAGGGTTAACAAGACTACCTTAGCCAGTTTCAAAACTGAAGTGAAGAAAGTTGTAAAAATCAAAGATGACGCGAAATTACCATATCCTAATTTTGACATCGTTTGCTCAAAAAAATAACATGATGGGAAAAATAGCATGTTTACTAAATAAAATGAAGCCTTCTTTTTCCATTTAGATTTCACTTATTTCACACTGATTTTAGGTTTTATTATCCCGATGTGTAAATAATGATATATGAAAGAAGTGTAAAAACATGCTTAGTTCAAATTTTTATATATAAATTATGTACATTTTTTTATCAGTTTTCATGAATTCATGCTAATTTTTGGATTTTGCACAAAGCTACACGAAAGCTATCTGTTCCAGCAGTTCTTAACTATTGAACTGATAGTCTAGACGGGAATGCAGCTAGTAAACGCCACTCACCGCCAACTCTTGGGATACGCTTCTCAGACCGATTAATGGGACTTGACCGTCACTCTTATAACGCACCCACCGTTCCAAAATGTGGAGAGCAATTTATTTTGGCAGAAACTGGATGCGAACTACGAAATCCCAGCTACACAATTTGGCACGCTAATCATTAAGATACTGCTAATTTTTACACTTTGTTAGAGTATCAAAGAATGATTTAATGATTTTCTCAAACATTAGCTTTACATATAAAATACTGTTGTCTTTTGTTAAAAAGTAAAGCATCATAAATGCTTTACATATTATTGTGGAGCTTTGTACGATACTGTGTCTAGATGGACATTTTTAAATAGCAATATTTTCTAAATTTATTTGATCCTTATGTCTAGCGAATACAACTAAACAATTAAAAAGAGTGGATAATCTTATAGAATTAATTATTAGGCCATTTTATCGTATAATTTCACCACATCTCTTACCGTATTAATAACAACTTCTCGAAATTTTCAATTTTTTCCAAAAATGTTCACTCTTTCTGTAAAGGTTTTCTCTGTATATTTACATTTGTTTTTTACGTGAAAATAACTACAGGTAAACGAGCAATATTTAACTACCTGAGAATAATTAATAGTGGAAATATACGGTTCAATGATTGTCAATATTCAAATGCCTGAAAATATTTAATAGTGGAAATATACGGTTAATTGTTGTCAATATTCAACTACCAGAGAATAATTAATAGTGTAAATATACGGTTCAATGTGATCAATATTTAACTACCTGAGAATAATTAATAGTGGAAATATGGGGTTCAATGACTGTCAATATTTAACTCCCTGAGAATAATTAATAGTGTAAACATACGGTTCAATGTGATCAATATTCAACTACCTGAGAATAATTAATAGTGTAAATATACGGTTCAATGTGATCAATATTTAACTACCTGAGAATAATTAATAGTGGAAATATGGGGTTCAATGACTGTCAATATTTAACTCCCTGAGAATAATTAATAGTGTAAACATACGGTTCAATGTGATCAATATTCAACTACCTGAGAATAATTAATAGTGGAAATATACGGTTCAATGTGGTCAATATTTATTCGAAAATCTTCGCTTTTCACTGCCCATGTCAGGTCTTTAGCTTTAATCATGCTTTCTTGCTCTGAAGGATGATTGTCAGCAGTAACTCGCAACCTAACAGCCATAGGTGGAGTCTTTAATCGTGGATAATAAGGATCAGGATATTGAAAACTGTGACTATCCTGTAAAATATCGAAGACAAATAACCATAAGGTTTACTGTACCAAAAATCGCGATATCAGTTGAATATTCTAGTGAATGTAAAATTCGTGCATCTTAAGTTCCTTGGATAAACAAAACGAAAAGAAATTGTAAAAAAGGCTAAACTTACGTCAAGTGGTTACAATGCTTTCCTTGTGGTTAACCTATGTCACCAGTAAGTATTTCTTGAAAGTCGTGGATTTATTTGCAACTTTTGGGCATTAAACTCTTATTTATTTATTTATTTTATTAAACGTTCTGATCTATAAAAACGAAAAAATAATGTAAGTAACTAACTTGCCTTAATTCGTTGTATTAAAGAATAGTAAACAGAATCCTAATTACAACGTATTTCAGTTAAGTATAAAACATTAACACTCATCTAATGAATACATTCTAATCACTAACTAAAATTCACACAAAAGTCTGATAGATGCGTAAAGTTTTCGCATTGTTTGTTTGTGTTTTTTCGTGTAATTCTTTCACAAAATTCGAGTTTTCAAGATGAAGAAATTTAGGTTAACAAATAATAGTAAATAAGATACTGCGTATGTTGTTGGGCAATAAAACAGTTTTTTCTACATAAAGCTTAATTGGATAATATTTCATGCAATAAATCCACTGTTTATAATATAAACGTCTTATTCAAACCGGTTAAACACAGAAGGTCATTTAAAAACATTTCTGTTATCAACAAGCTCCAATATTTACCAATTTGTTTGTGTTGTAATTTCCTTACCTCGGTAGTCAAGCAGTCACTGGATCTAGTATCCAAGTCTTTGGTGTTAAAACGATTTTGAAACTCCGAGATTTCGTGAGAGTGAGATCCTTCTTCTACTGGTTTATCGTACTGATGAAAAGACATCCGACTTGTTGAATGATCTAATGAGTAAGTATGATAGTAATTACCATTGAATTAAATCCATCTAAAATACAAAATATAAAACTATTTAATAACTTAAGTAACAGCAAAAAAATAATAATCCCCATATCAAACTTATTAATAATAATAATCCCCATATCAAACGTATTAATAATAATAATAATCCCCATATCAAACTTATTAATAATAATAATCCCCATATCAAGCTTATTAACAATAATAATCCACATATCAAACTTATTAATAATGGTAATCCCCATATCAAACTTATTAATAATAATAATCCCCATATCAAACTTATTATGAAAGTGGCCAGGACGAGTTTTATGAAGATCATAATTATTTCTATTATAAATAAGTTTCATTATATTAACGTGATTAGCCATTCTTTACGGTTTTGCAAGTTTTAAAATTTATTAATCGGTCTTTATTACATGCTAACGATAGACTATCGCATTTGTAACTTGTAAGTGATCCTAAACATTTCTTTGTATGCTTAACCATTCATAACCCTATTTGCAAACGAAAGAAAACACGTGTATTTACCAAAACCACTGTAGGGTTTTAAAAACTATAGTATTGGTGTGACGCTTAATTTTGTTACTATAGTTTTTGATTTAAAATTAAGAGTTTCCAGGTTTTATATTTTATAAACCTCTCCGAAACTGCTTCTTTCTCCTGCAAATATTCCGAAGCATTCAATAATAAACGGTAAATAATATAAACAAAAGGCTGCTTGATGCGGTATTTATGTATGAAACTTGTAATTGATGCGTCTCAGTAATAGACGGTAAATAATATAAACAAAAGGCTGCTTGATGTGGTAGTTATGTATGAAACGTGTAATTGCTGCGTCTCAATGATAGACGGTAAAGAATATAAACAAAAGGCTGCTTGATGTGGTAGTTATGTATGAAACTTGTAATTGATGCGTCTCAGTAATAGACGGTAAATAATATAAACAAAAGATTGCTTGATATGGTAGTTATGTATGAAACTTGTAATTGATGCGTCTCAATGATAGACGGTAAAGAATATAAACAAAAGGCTTATTGATATGGTCGTTATGTATAGAACTTGTAATTGATGTATCTCAATAATAGACGGTAAATAATATAAACAAAAGGCTTGCTTGATATGGTAGTTATGTATAGAAACTTGTAATTGATGCGTCTCAGTAATAGACGGTAAATAATATAAACAAAAGATTGCTTGATATGGTAGTTATGTATAGAACTTGTAATTGATGCATCTCAATGATAGACGGTAAATAATATAAACAAAAGATTGCTTGATATGGTAGTTATGTATAGAACTTGTAATTGATACATCTCAGCAACACCTTTCAAACTTCATTGTTTTAATATATATGAACATTTTCTCTTTTATTTTAAGATAATTAGAATATATAATTTATTCTAATTTGCAACAAATAGTTCCGTTGTTATATGTAGCATGGGTTCTATGAACCCTGCTTATTAATCAACTTTAATTCATAAGAAAATATGTAAAATGTGTAGTTTTTCTAAAAGCTGTTGTTGTTGTTATTGTTGTGTTTTTCTTTTCTGTTAAACCGTAAACAATTCTCGCAGAAATTTCTGTTTTTCAATACTAAATAAATTAAGCGTATGGATATTTGTATAAAGAGGATTAAATACGGTAAAACCTCCTTTTCCATTAGGTTGAGCCTCCATTCCCCTCATACGGATGATAATTACAATAATTATCGCCATCAACACCAAAGAAGCCACCGTTCCCACCAGAACCCCCAGAAGTGGTCTAAGTCCGGATGAGGAAAATTTTCCTTCAGAGAAAAAAAAAAAAAACAAATGTAGAAAATAAAATTTCTTGGAAGATCATTAAGATACCATAAGTAATAATAATAATAATTAAATCCTGTTTTTATCCAACTGCAATAATGATTTTCGTTCACATACACGATTCAGTTTGTAAAATCTTAACTACCTGCATCAAACATGAAAGAAATGTGCTTTGATATTGCTTATCTCAAATCTAAAACATTACTCTGATGACCGATATTTCATTTAACGTACCGCCTTATCTTCAAATGTGCAAATCAAATATATCCCAAAGCTAACACTTTATACCCAAAAATTAAGATAACAGTATTCTTATTGTTATATTGATACTTTCTTCAGCGCCGTAAACCGTTCGTTATCTTACGGAAAGCGTATATATCAAAGAAAAACCAAAATATCCAACAGAGTTGAAGTAGAACATTTAAAATTATCTATTGAAGCTGTTTTTAAGTTAATACACATCCATCTTAACTTTCAAGCCTATTATTCTCACAGATAGGCTTACAAGTCATGTGAATATAAATGATAATGTTTATTTAAGGCGCTGAATATAACAAAGACTACCAGATTTCAATTATGTATCAGAAACAACGTTTTATCCAGAAGTATTTGTAATACACTTATACTCCTTTAATAAGCTATTTACTTATTACATCACATCCAACTCTATCATAAGTGAATACAATAGTTAAAAACCTTCAAGAATGTTGTTTTTCAAGTTGCAAGTTTCACTAGAACTTGCAAAGAAATGTAGCGTATCTCCAGTTCATGCAGCATTATTCAAAGTGAGCAACTTAACATGAATGATTACTCCTCATTACCGTGTCCGTGTTGCGGCTTTAGTATTTTTACACCAAATAAAACAGAAATGCTCATCATCATTACTGTGTCCGTGTTGCGGCTTTGGTATTTTTACACCAAATAAAACAGAAATGCTCCTCATCATTACTGTGTCCGTGTTGCAGTTTTAGTATTTTCACACCAAATAAAACAAACATGCTTCTCCTCATTACTGTGTCCGTGTTGCAGTTTTAGTATTTTCACACCAAATAAAACAAACATGCTTCTCCTCATTACTTTTTCGATGTTGTAATTATTTGAGCATTCTTACGCCAAATAAAACAAACATGCTCTCCCTCATCACTTTTTCGATGTTGTAATTATTTGAGCATTCTTACGCCAAATAAAACAAACATGCTCTCCCTCATCACTTTTTTCGATGTTGTAATTATTTGAGCATTCTTACGCCAAATAAAACAAACATGCTCTCCCTCATCCCTTTGTCAGTATAACTGTGTTAACACTATTATACCAAACAAAACAAAAATGCTTCTCCTCCTCATTACTTTGTCAGTATAACTGTGTTAATACTATTACACCAAACAAAACAAAATGCTCCTCCTCCTCATCACTTTGTCAGTATAACTGTGTTAACACTATTATACCAAACAAAACAAAAATGCTTCTCCTCCTCATCACTTTGTCAGTATAACTGTGTTAACACTATTACACCAAACAAAACAAAAATGCTCCTCCTCCTCATTACTTTGTCAGTATAGCTATGTTAACACTATTACACCAAACAAAACAAAAATGCTCCTCCTCCTCATTACTTTGTCAGTATAGCTATGTTAACACTATTACAC